ATTGAGAGCAGTAGGATTAAACATTATATGGAACACTTCAGCTACTCTTTCTTTGTAATTGGAAAAAACCTTTTTGTAATATTTTGATATTTTTGAAATCGATTTGGTGGTTGTTGGAAATGGCGTGAACTGCTATTGCCAATTTAATTTGAAGTCTATGCAGCTCTACGGGATTATTAGAAGGTTTCTTTGTGTACCTAATATGTTGTTTGGCTTGACTCAAGATTTCGCAAGAGGACTCTTCAATATAGAATGTATCACAATCGACACAACCTAATTTGTAGACACAGTTTTGTATTGACATAAAGGGAATTTTTTCTTTTAAGCGAACAAAAGTGTTTCGAAGTGTGTTCGTTGTTCTTAGTATACTTTAATTGTGTTGTTTTAAGATGCTTTAGAATTCTTCTGTTGTGCCATGACGGTATGGTAAAACTGCAGTACCAATCCATGGTATTTCATTCGAATTATTATTACGCAATGAAACGTCTTGTTTTAATATACTTCTAATAATCTTCATAGGAAAATCATGAAATTGTGAGATGCTAATTACATTCTTTTGTTCCTTTTGTTTATCCTCTTCTGACGTGATGATCTTGTTATCCCTTCTAAAAAGATCTAGGGCTAGCGAGATCTTTGCACTGAATGGTTGTGCTGAATTGAAGTTAATATAACGATTATCGTGTTCAAGTTTTCGGTCGATGGATATATTTATAGTTCTATTTAGATTTCTTCCCCCTAAGTATTCTAAAAATGGTAGTTCTCCATGTTCATTTTCATTCGCAGTCGTAAATTTGATGTACGATGAAAGTGTATTGATCTGTTTCGAAAAAGATTTTAGGATTTCATGATTAGACTAATGCCTAAAGGACGTTTGTCAGGAAGAGTATTATCGTTCTCTAGTAAATCACTAATGAATTCTAAGCATTCAAAAATTAAAAACACGAAGTTCAGAGAAGGGATCTCTTTTCAACGAATTTATTATCAAGCTGTACAATCCTATATATATATATATATATATATATATATATATATATATATATATATATATATATATATATATATATCTGAAAATTTTTTTTGTTTTTGTAAAAGTACTAATTCCATGAAGAAATGTGAACACAATTAACCAATAATTAAAGGTCATAACAACAACGATTAGAAGAACATTTAAGGCGGCTAAACTGCGAATAACCTTCACTAGTAGGAACTTATTTTCTGTATCCATAAAAGATAATCTTCCGCGTCTGGTCGCCTCTATGTACATCTACCAGTTCACCTGCTCTTGTGGAGCAAGGTACATTGGCCGTAGCCAACGCTCGCTTTCAACTCTGATACGGGAACATATCCCAGCTTGGTTCTATAAGGGTGAAAGGGAAGAAGTTAGGAGTTCTATTCTTGAACACCTAATCGACTGCAACCATTCTACGGATCCACAGTTTGATTTTAAGGTTGTTTACATGATTCGTTCAAATCTACCCAGATTTCTTTGTATCCAACTCTTAAAAATAGCCGAAGCTCTTACCATCCATGAGCTTAAACCAGAACTATGCGGAAAAAGAAGTACGTCTTATCGTTATCGTTACCTTGGCCTTAGTTATTTTGATTATCCTATTATTATTATTACTATTATTATTATTATTATTATTATTATTATTATTATTATTATTACTGTATTCCCCTTTACTTATGTCTTATATTCTCATTATTTTATTCGAAAATACTCATCATATCACTTTATTTAATTATTGTAACAAAAACATTTTAATCATCTTATCATGTTCACTAAAACTATCGTTATTATTCGTATTATGTAATCTAGTATTACAATCTTTTTATTACGTCATCTTGTTTATTTGTGTTCACATTTCTTCACGGAATTAGTACTTTTACAAAAACAAAAAAAATTTCATATATATAGGATTGTACAGCTTGATAATAAATTCGTTGAAAAGAGATCCCTTCTCTGAACTTCGTGTTTCTAAGCATTTATCAATAGGAATACTAGTGTATAATAATAATGGCATTGATTTATTCAGACCTGCTTTTTTGATTGATCACATAATATTCGTGTAGTTCTGTTGTACTATTTAAACTGGAGTTTAACACTGCTGCGTGTAAGATAGTTTTTCGCTAATGGAAGTGAAAGTTGGTTGCACAATAATGCCGATTGATTACAGTTAGATAATCTAAACGACTAGTTGATGTCTTTCAGATACTCACTATGATCGAATAAACTCTCATTCATCAACTAAACTCCACTTATTATTGGACAACTTTATAGAAGTACTATGCGTAAAATCCAACTCCACCTGTAGCTGCTCTAGGTTTCCTACCGGTCTCAAGCCCGGATAAAGGAGAGTTGGGTATAGGGTTAGAGACATTTCATAAAAAAGAATCTTGCTAGAAAATGCTAACCATGTGGAAATGTTCTACCCTGATATGTAGAGAAGTGTCGTACACGTAGAATATATCTATTTCCGGATACTTCTAATGCTTGCTCCATAAACTAGAAAGTTTAGATCAAATAGAATAGGATCCCGGAAATCTCTTTAATTTCATTTTTAGCTGAGTATCGATGCGCGAAACTCAAAGTCTAATAAACTACTTGAACTGACAAAAATTTTTTTAAACTAAAATACATTCATTGTGTGGATATATCTGTTGCGCAGTTGGAAGAGTTGTTTGCAGTGTCGAATACCATGTCAAGCCCACCTAGGTTATTCTGCTTCTGGACAGACCAATTAATTATTGAATAGCATCGGTCACTAAGCCACAAGCGCACTAAGAGGATCCGAGAGAAAAAAGCTAATGCGCGCAAGCGAACGAATACAGAGGCGAATCGATTAATAAGATCTAAGCATAAACAATATATATGTGAAAGAGAGGAGAGTGAGTCAACACATTTTGATAAAGCGAGGTTCAATATCTATAGCCAGACAAAAACAAGCTACTGACAAGTAATGAATAGGGTAAACAATACGCACAATTACGCTCATATAAGAACGGCCAAGGTTAATGATCGAATAATTGACAAGGTTGAAATGTGGCTCACGAAGACTGAGCCAGTCGGTCTGCATGGAAGCTAGAGCAACCCATGTGGGCTTGACATAGTACTAGACATTATATGTTCGATCCTGTATAACTACAATGTGATCAACAATTCAAATAACGCTAACAAGTTTCCAAAATCTCGAACGAACTAATCTTATATTAGACTTTTACAAAATAAACATTTTTCGGTAGAATATTTTGCTCAAAAGTTTTAAGGTTTTCCCAGTCAAATTATACGACAGTTTTGTAACTAAAATTTTGTTTTGAAATTTAAACTTATCAATAACTTAAAGGTCCAATTACTAGTTCCCTTCCCTTCCTGTAAATTTTAACGGATTATTCAAGTTTTATTAGTTACTGAATAATTATGTGTAAATCAGGATTCTTAATAATAATTGTTATCATCGATACAACCAAAAATTTCCTGTTTTAGGGACATATTCATTATTCTAAAAGAGAAGCAATGCGAAAGGCACTAGAAATTTATAAAATGTTGTAGTATGACAAGAAGTGGTTTAATCAGATATTAATGCTTAAATCTGTTAATGGATCAAGCAGAAATTTATTTCAGATAATGATTAATGCTGTGGCATAATCTGAATACTTCTTAACTGTGATACTTTTGTGAGTTGTTGAACTAATCACAGTAAACTATTGTAAAGGTGGCTTGCTTAAGTATCTGGGCTACCCATTCCTACCATCTGGATATTTCAACAAGTTATCTTTTTGCTTGCTTGTTTTAGCACATCATTACGCCTATTAGTCTCATAACCTATTCAGGTGCGTTTGTGAAAAGTTTACGACATTTCACTGTACAAGTTACATAAAAGCCCAATCAGAGAGATCAAGGTTGTTGGCTATATGCATCGAAAAGAATATACATTATTCAGATGTCGAGTACTGAACTGCTAACATCTAACTGGCGACCACTCAATATTTATTGCAAGGATCGAACAAGAAATAAGGGACATAAAAATGCCCCAAATTTAACTTGTCCACACATCTTACCATTGTCATTATTATCTTTATTATTGTTATTATTATACTTGCTAACGTTTTTTGAGAAATATTGAATAAAGCCACTAATAATTCAACGGTTTTTCTACTGTAACCTTTTTACGTTGCTTAAAACAGAAAGCTGGACGTCTACTATATAGTATTATTTTGGTACCGGACCATTTTTAGTTTTCTGATATTTTCGAAGACACATGTGCTGTTTAGCGCAATCCATTGCTTGTTAATTTAATAATCTGCTTGTTCATATTGGATAGGTCTACTTAAAAGAGTCACTGATTAATTTTGTCTTTGAGTAACTAAGTTAGAACATTATCGAACAAATTGTTTTGTTTTGATCGATGAAAAATGCTAAGAGTTATCAGTTCCATAAACTGGGTATCATGAGATACTATGTAAAGTGTTAACACTGAAACTACCAGCTTTCGCATTCCAGTCTGGAAATATAAACCTACCGAAATTATTAAGATCAGAAGTATGTGACCTGGTGGACAGATATCTTTATTTGGTCCCTCCTAATTTTATTTAAAATCACCTGCTGAGTTAGCATCCCAAAGTAGGCGGTGGTTAGGTATGTGCGCCACAGCTACTGAATAAGTCAATAAAGCTGTATGATCTCATCATCAAAAAATGTTGCGTGATTGGCACCAGACATTATTTTTAGCCTTCGCGGTTAATCTCATAGTTACATAGTCTAGTCATCCCGTTTTACTTCCTTCCACTGTAAAGGTAATCGAGAATTTTTAACCATATGAGCACTTTCGATAACACTGCAGTTTGTTTTGGTCATAGCCAAACTCGTTTTTTGTGTTCTAATATTTCTTCTGTGTCTCTTAACAAAATACTCTTGGCATATCATAAAACCTGGGAAACCGATCATAAAATAACCTATGCTAAAGCATTAAACAAGTATAACAAATGACACAATAATTTCAGCACAGTTTAGTTCACTGAGTTTGTATTATTTTATTAATTATATAACAAAATATAAAGTAATAAGTCTACAATAATGTATATACTTGAGCAGAAAAGTTGAATCAACATTTAAAATGATCATAAAAAAAGAACAAGAAGAGTTAAACAACACTGTTGTATAAAAAAATAGCAAATCGTCGCAGAACAACAAGGGAAGAATAAAAAATACATTGTGATGATAATGATTCAGGTAATGATGACGATTGTTCTAACAATAATGTTACTAAATCTCTTCTTTTATCATTTTCATTTATTTATTTAACAAAACTGGATGTTCCGTAACGTCTAAACTGTTATAACGACGTAAACGCAGTGAATAATACCAAAAGACTAGAAGCATTATTACAGAGGAGATTGCTGCACCAACAAAGATAAATACAACTGGATGTAATCGATAATTTACACAATCCGGTTGATCTATTGAACATTCTTTATAAAATCTATCAGTACTCAATAATAATGGTTTAATTTGTTCCAATACAAGATTCACAGGACAACCATTGGAACCAGGTTGATCTTTACAAGCTGGTAAGGTTAAATATTCACCAGTTTCATCAGTCCAACCTTTTTTATACAACAATTTTATACGATAATCACTTTCTTTGCCAGATTTATCTGGACCATGTAATTCTAGAATAACAGTAGATGCATAATTAATTGTTTGATTATTATAAACACCGAAACCAGCTAAAACATAAGTTACATCAGTATCATGAGCTGAATAAATCATCATATGTTCGGTGGATAATGTATATTCATAAGTTAAATTCAATTGTTCCCCACGTATGATAGAATGTATATGTTTAACGAATGTGTTTAAGAAGACACCAATTTCCAATCGAATAATATCATCTGAAGAAGAATATTTTTTCTGACGAAAAAAAAGTAGACATTTACATATGTATTTGATATTATCACCAGGATAGTATAACTAACTTTATCGTGTCGCAGGAATATGAATATTTTAAAATTAACGCAGAAAAATATGCCATTACGAATGATTTTCAGAAATTTTTTCAAATGATTACTCTTTTAATGATTGAAATGAGTGACTGAAGGCTAGCATACGTAGCCCAATCATAAATGATCAATTAATTAATTAGTATTTACTATTTTCTGAGGTTAAATGGAAAATGTTTCAATGATATAAACAAAAAATGAGACATTGTATATTACAAAGCAAATCAGACAAATGTATTAAACAGTAAGACAAAAATGACGTATAATATGGACTTTAGTCAATATACAGGGTTTTGTACACCTTGATATGGATTCTAACAAATTTTGCAGTACCAATGTTTGATCTGTCCGACATTTGTAAGAAGGTACTATGTAAAAACCTGTAAAAAGCTGCTTCCAAATTTTGCAAACATCAAAAAAGAAACAATTATCAAATTTTTAGAAGTAGTGCTTTAGTAGTTAGAGTAAGATTTTCAACCGCTAGGTTACATATCCTAGCGGTTCTATGGCAGTGTCTGTCATTGACAAGGGTACCTCAGAAGTACATAAACCTTGTGAAGTCACTTTACTCGAACATTATTCGTCAAGTCAGAACTTATGGCGAACTGTCATCTGATTCTGCAACCTCAAGTGGTGTCCCTCAAGGCTGTCAACTTTATCCATTTTTGTTTAAATTCATCATAGACCTACTGATGGAAATAACGTTCTCGTCGACTGAATTCTCGGGTATTGAGCTCCTTCCACGAGGTCCACTTATCGACTTAGAATACGCAGATAACATATTCCTGTTTGGTGAAGACGCTGATGAAATGCACAGTTTTCTGGTAGCACTAAGCAACAATGCCGGGATGTTTGGGATGCGCTTCTCTCCCTCTAAATGCAAATTATTGCTTCAGGACTGGTCTGCGTCAACACCTGAACTAAGGATAGGGGGTGAAGTAGTCGAACGCGTCGACAACTTCACTTATCTTGGAAGTCTGATCAGCTCTAGTGGGTTCGTGTCTGACGAAATCTCAGCACGGATTTGAAAAGCTCGTTTGGCTTTTGCCAACTTACGTCACCTATGGCGCAGACGAGCTATCTGTTTATCAATTAAGGGACGAGTATACTGCGCGGCAGTTCGTTCTGTTCTACATCACGGCTGCAAAGCGTGGCCATTAAGAGTAGAAGATACTCGTAAGTTACTAGTATTTGACCACAGGTGCCTTAGAAATATTGCGGGTATCTGCTGGGATCACCGGGTAAGTAATAGTGAGGTTAGACGCAGGGTATTAGGGAATGATGGTAAGTCAGTTGATGAGGTTATGAATCTTCATCGACTGAGATGGTTGGGCCACGTGTTACGTATGCCTGAACACCGATTACCACGATGCGCAATGCTAACCGGTGTTAGGGATGATTGGAAGAAAGTTAGGGGCGGCCAAACCAAAACGTGGCATCAGTGCTTGAAGTCACTAAGTTCTAGTCTGAACCATGTTGGTAGATTCAGACTGCTTGGTTGGGGTCCGCGTGACTATCGTAACCAATGGTTGGAGACTCTTGGTGACATGGCGCAGAATCGATCACAATGGCGTCGGTGTATACACTCTGTCTTCCTTTAAACTAAGAGATTAAAATCACTTCAAATCTTTCTTTCTACGAACTAATTCTTTCTTTCTTTACTATCTCCTTATACACAATCTTTCTTCTATATATTACCACCACTGAATTAACTACTTCTATGAATCCGGTGTTCATCTTGCTAAGCTAATGAGGTATGGCAACTTGGACTGATGCACATATGTGCCTGGTCCTACGTTGTAACTGACTGACTGAGGTTACATATCCGAATGCTCCCTAACATATTACCGTTTGGACAGTTTGGTATTATTTCTAGTCTTCGTGCAATACACGTGTTACTAAAAATTGAGTACATAAATCTGTACTTGGTACAAATTACAGATTTCTCCTTGATACTTATTTATGTCAAAATATATTGGAAGAAAATGTGATTACTGCAACTTTCAAATGTTTTTTATCATATTTCTTAACTATTTCAAGCGATCAAACTTCATAACCCATTAATGTTTGACCTTTAAATTCTTCAATTGGTTATTCAACCATACATACGTATTACTTAGACGATGAGATCGAGATACAAGTAATTTAGTAATTAAGGGAAGGTTCATGTAATCATTGATGAGTAAATTTATGTTTGGAGAGACTAGTTACACTAAAATGTCTCCCATACTACAGTAAGTAAAAGAATTTCAAAGTAACAGTTCAGTGGTTGAAAATCGAGTTCATTAACTGATAAACCATTAAACCACTGAAACTGAATGAGAAATTTATGTAAAGAGCTAAACAGGTAACAGTTGAGTATATTAAAAGTTCGAATCCGTAAAAGTTAATTTTAATTAAGATAAAAGCTCGTTAACAATTACACCACAATTTTTGTTCAGGCAAATTACCAAGTTTTTGTTTAGCGAGACTTCTAAAGTAATTCTTTACATTAAAATGACTATCTGGACTTAGTAGCTAAACGGATAACGCGTTGGCATTTGAAGCGAAAGGTAATGGGTTCGAATCCAACAGAGAGTATCAGTTTTGAGATACAGGTAAATCCAACTGACGAATCCCAGATAAAACGAAACGCACGTTCTGGATCCCACTGTTAGTCACCACCCATCTCTGCCTAAAATTGGTTAACTTAGATTTCTTATTACACACTTAATTTTGTAGAAATTATCCATTAATCGTCTGTTGAACCGGAAAATGAGAAAAGATGATCGGTTCACGACGTAAGATTACGAAGAGAAAATTAGCTTACGCTACTGTATCAAGGATACCTATGTATAATCTAGTGACTTGGAATATTATAAGAACTTGTTCAAAATAGAAGCTGGTATAGAACCAGAATGTTCTTTAGTCTTCTTAACAAAATATTAACATACAGAAAATGAACGAGTTACTTTGATTACATAACTGTCTAGCGTTTATAGTCAGGAAATATTTGTTTTATGTATCTTGAGTGAAAGTATGTCCCTTGGTTTGCTTGCACTCTCAAAATCAATAAATAACTGTATATACATAGGCAAATAACCTTATCATATATATCAAATTGTGGGAAAAAATGCTTACCACCCAATAGAATCTATTGACTTCATGTAATTCTGCTAAAAAATCATCTGTACACCAATCAGGAAGGGTAAGGTTATGAGCAATCATACATGTAATCAAATCGGATATGGACCATATATTATGACGATTAACTGGACCAATACCAGCGACATTAGTAAGTTCGACAAATAAATTTGAATGATTTTTTTCAAATTCAATAGATGGTTGACTATCCATTTGCATACGTTGTAACGAATCCAGATAAGGACATGGTGCAACACCCAAAAGTGTATCTGTTACCTGTAGACAGAAATGTAAGACAATGTACGCTGATACTGACAATAATTAAGAGGTATATCATAACGAATACACACAGCCACAGTGATTTGTCACAGTGGTGTAGGCTAACGACATTCACCCACTGGACTACAGCATCCACTTAGTCTTATTTATATGATTTGAGTATTTGCGGTCTAAAAAAATATTGTTTCATATTTTACAACAGTGACATACAGGCAAGTGTTACAGAAATTAATTAAAATATCAACGAACGATTGATGTTATATCCACGGTGAATATTAACATTTGTTAGCGATGATAGAAGGTAATGCAATTCGTTAGTTAAGTGGAATGAATAACAAAGTATGATACTTCGTTACCACTTAACTTCATAGTTAATTTATTTTCCTTATACATGAGTACCCTTGTACTTTATTTTGTGCGCGATAGTAACAACATAAGCAGATAGTGATATTTTGTAAATAAAATGGCGACATAGCAGTGAAATCATTCAACTTTCAACCACTAGTTTGACGGTTCAAACTTTAATTCACTTAGCTTTGAGCAATGAGGTGATATTACTATCCCTTATAAAATGTGTGGGTGAAAGATGAGTGCACAAAATTAAATGAATTTATTTTTTGGTCTTGACTATGGTGGAATATCGGTCAAAACTCAATCGTTGAATCATTTAAATCAAGGTAAGCAAATGAAATGAAAATTATGGACAACTACTGTGGAGTTTGACAACTAATTACTACGTAACGTAACTACTCGAAGAATATATATATATATATATATATATATATATATATATATATATATAAAGTATAGAACCATGATTAAAAACCAATTGGAAGGAAATTTCTCCGCTAGAGTCGTTCTTTTTACCAAACGTCAAAATGAGAATTTTCACTATATTGAAATGTTCTGAGCAAACGTTTGTGTTAAAGGTTCTCCACGAATACCTGAAGTACAACTCAAGGCTCAGTGAAGCGACGGCAAATGTTGATTTTATCAAGGAGTGCAAGAGAACCAACTTGTATCCAAAAGTATATTGGAAATCTTTACGTCGCTCTCGAGTTCGATTAAATAGAAAGACTCCCAAACCTTGAGTATTAAATTAAATCAATTCTCTAAATTTATATATTGCTGAGACACTGAAAAAATGTCTATGAGAGTTTACGCTGTGGAAGAGCTTCATAATAAATTAAAAGAACAATTTTCGGACTATGTTAAGTTGGTGGTTGATACAAAAAAAGAAAAGAAACAAATGAAACTAAAGAAAAACCTAGACAAATATACTCCAGAAATGATATTCACATATAAACCAGGCAAGTATGTACACAATTTTTCCAGTGTTAAGGCCGAGTTAAAAGCGTTATCACTAGACCCCAAATTTTGTGACTTGAAGAAAACGATTAATAAAAGGGATGTTGAAATTCAGTTTGGAAACCTTTACGGCCAGACGGCTGAACTAGTAACTTCATCAAAAGATTATGTCGAAAGATTTAAATCAACAATACTGGACTGCTGCTTTAGATATCTAAATAATGGACATTATTCGAAAGGGATTTTCACGAAAAAACATAGGGAAGCTTTCAGAAAACTAAAAACTGATGACGATTTATTAATCACGAAACCAGATAAAGGTTGTGGTGTAGCACTCATGGATAAAAAACAGCTATTTAAACAGAATAAAGACCCTTTTAAATGATAAGAGTAAATTTCAGAAACTGGTAAGGAATGTTAGGGCAGACAACCAATAAATACATTTTAAGATCACCCATGCAAGTGCCCCTCAATGCCGTGGTACGGCCGAGGGTGAGGAGAGTCACCTCTCCTTCACGAAATGCTCACATGGCCACGCGTATACAGCCACTGACAGGGAAATCCTACTCATTACCTTCTCGTGGCGTTACTGTTATTTACGAAATTCATAGGACGAAAAGCGAATATCCAGAGCTTTAACTGGGTTCATGGATACGGTTAGTTCATCTAAGGGAGTTGGAAAATCCTCATTCCAAATTAATGGTGCACATGAGCCCCAGGATCCTGAAGGAACAAAAGGCGTATGAACCAATCGTTGGTCACCGGTTACCACGGGACTGCATCTCCTGACGTCGCTCCACTGCCTAGTGGATTAGACCTTCTAATCATAGACTCCGGGTGTGACCCACTAAGAAAACCACCTGCTTTGGTCTGGGCAGCCGAGCAGTATCATAGCCCACATATAAATTAAGTGACTTGTCTGGCGCATATGTATTCAGTGCTCCTTTTTGCGAATATTCATGTGTTCAAATAAATAAATAGAAAATCATTGAAAGAAATTAAACAACCAGATTCTACTTCAGAAAGTGTTCCAAATATTGAGACCTACAGGAACGATAGCATCAAATTTATGTTCTGCCTAATTTAAATAGGAATAATTCAGCTTATGATACTGTAGCAAAATAATTAGTGCAAGTTCTCAAACCATCATACAAAGATATTGTTACACATAGTGTCAAGAATTCTTTTTAATTTTTGAATAATATAAAAAAATCCTAAAGATTCCCACTGTGAAAATTAGAACAACATATATAAGCGAACAATTGTTTTCAATTAGATCGTCATCAGGCTTTACTCTAATATACAGTAATATTTATACGAAAATGTTAAACCAATCAAGGCAATTCGGGTCAATAATCACAATGAAATAGAATAAGTCACCACACATAATAGATAAAAGTACAAGTTGATAGTAGGAAGACAGGTGTACTGATAGTAGTAAGAATAATGAAATACGATGATAAAAGTCTTATCAATAGTTAAACATTGGAAATAGTAGGTCAAACGTGGGTAAATAGACTTGGAATAGTCATCACAAAACATTAAAATCATTACGTAATAAGAAGTGTGTAAATAATTAGATAGTGAAGAATACAAACGGAAAGAGGCAGAAAACTACAAACAAATAATGGATGTGAAAATAAGGTTAATGATAACCAAAAGTAGAATGAAATAAATAAACAATAAAAAGTCAGGAGCTTGAATTTATCAACAACTCACTGACCGAGATCGGCTACCCCAGTGCTTTCATTAAGAAGTACATGTATAACATAATAAAGAAGTCGGAGATTTCGACTGTTCGTAAGAAACCTTTATACATGAAACTACAATTCAACGGGGATGTGGCTAGTGATACTCTGAAATAAAGGTTAAGGAAAGTAATCAGTAGGACATTCAACGCAGCCAATCTTGCGTTAACTTTCTCTGGTCAACCAACGATGTCTACTCAAACGAAGGATAAGTTACCTGATTTGGCCTCCTCAATGCGCATTTACAAATTCAGCTGATCCTGTGGAGATAGCTATATCGGACGTAGCACCAGGCAGCTTAACCAACGAATGAGTGAACATTATCAGCTTGGTTTATAAAGGGCCATATAAAAACAATACGCAGTTCTATCTTGGCACATATTATTGATAGCTGTCATGCTGTGAAAAAAAATTCGAAATCATTTCGAGTGATCTATCGTATGCCTCCATCATTTCCCAACGGAGTTCGTTCCCGCCTCCTACATATAGCTGAAGCCATAGGGATTCGTACATATAACTTTTGTTATCGTATTTTATTATTCTTACTACTATCAGTACACCTGTCTTCCTACTATCAACTTGTACTTTTATCTATTATGTGTGATGACTTATTCTATTTCATTGTGATTATTGACCCGAATTGCCTTGATTGGTTTAACATTTTCGTATAAATATTACTGTATATTAGAGTAAAGCCTGATGACGATCTAATTGAAAACAATTGTTCGCTTATATGTGTTGTTCTATAAAAAAAAATCTGTCGGTAAAAAATAACTTCATGATATCACTAAATGTACCGTCCTTATTCACTAACAGAAAGCCTCATAGAAACCTTAATCCCCGTATCAACAATAAAACAGATAATTCGTAGATGCACGATGAATGTCCACCTCCGATTCGATAATAAATACTATAGACAATTGGATGGTATAACCATGGGGCCCTCTACTGGCAAACAGTTTTCTTTCTGAACTGGAAAATGGACTACATAAAGAAACAATCAGTCATCTAATATTTTACAGTCACTATATGGATGGTGCTTTCATAGTGTAAGAGAAAGAACATGAAGATGATAACTTGCTTAATATACTTAATAAAATTCATCCATCTGTTGCTTTTACACTAGAGGAAGAACAGAATAATAGCATATAGTTTCTAGATGTCCAACTAACAAAAAGAACAGATGGAACACTGAAAAGAGGGATATACAGAAAGTCTAGAGTTGAACAGTATACACATTTATATAGTTCTGTACCAACCCGATACAAAAGAAACTATGTAAAGATCCTGACCCATTGTGCTAGGGCGTTTTGATCTGATGACACCATGGTAGGTGAACTGAGGGATACTCGTAACCTGCTTAGTAGGAGTGGATACCCAACGAAACCCTTCAACAAACACATGAATGAGATGAAAAGACCAAATGTATCTCCCGCTGTGAAGTACTGTTCTTAAGATTACAATCCTTAAATGATGATACACAACAAATTGATTCTAAAGTTAAAAAGGCGCTACAGAAAACATTTCATGCAACCAGGTTGAATGCCGTTTTCTACAACCCCCTATAATAAGAACCATTAATAAAAGGCATACTGCCTGAATTCGCCACATCCATATGTATTTACCAATACGAATACTCTTATGGGGCCACTTGTATAGGGCATACAATTTGACAAGTCCGTCATCACATAGCAGAACACTATCCGTCTTGGATGAACAAAGGAGAGGTAACAGTGATTGGGAGTTCTATTTTCGCTCACTTGGTGGGCACAGGTCATCAAATAGACTCCAGCAAAACTTTCAAGGTAATCTACCATATCCCATCAAATTTACCAAATGGTTTACGAGTTCGCATTTCGCACATTGGTAAGGCTATCGGAATCCGTGTTCACACACTGAACCTTTGCACTCAAAAGAAGTTTGTACAACCACTCTCATTACCTTGACCATCGATATAGGAGTGACTTTTTAGCTGAGATTTGGTGAAACCCTTTCCTTTAAAAATATTTAAACTATTTTCCAAATTCGTTCACTTTTGTATTACACATATCTTCGACGTTCGTCTCTTGATTCTTACATAGCTACTATTGTAGTGTGCGCTACTGATATCGACAGATATAAGTAGCATGTGTCACCAATCGGAAGTGGAATGCCCGGCGGCAGAAAGTTGGGAAAATCGAAGAAGAGAGGACGAGAATAGAGAGTGGTTGGTATGGAAATGAAGGGATGACAAAGTCTTCTGTTCTTATAATTCTGGGTTTTATATTTTTTTCTTCTTCACTACCGTTGAGAAGTTAAAAAAGTGGATGGATAATTTTAAGTCGACAGGTAAACGAGTGTTAATTTACAGTTGTTCTAATATTCCTGTTTGGAAAAGGGTTTAAGATACCTATTTTCTTGACCATTTATTTCAGAAGGCACATTAAGTCATGTTATATAGAAAGGCAATGAGGGATTAATATAGCTTTGAGCACTATTGCCCACTCTAATAAACCACCCATGAAAAAAAGATAAATAAGCGTTTAGGAGTTTCTATAGACACTTTTTGTGGAGAATAGCAACAACAAAATAAACATGAGCATAAAAAACTGAAAATGATAAGAGATACCTTTTTGACTTATGAAAGACAGCTAATGTATGGTTATTATTAATGATATGGCTTCACTTCGTTAAGACGGAAATAGAAATGCTATTATGACGAAACAAGCACTCATTAAGATGCAGTCACAAACAAGATATCACCAATTGCTGTTTTAACAATGAAACAAAAGTTCAGAATCCCGTTACATGATAGTGATCTTAGAGTCATGTAAATAACTTTTGATTTACATTTTCTGAATCTTAATTGAAAATATGAGTTTTTGACTTCTAAATGTTAACACAGAATTCGGTTGATATACATAACATAAAGTTATACTTACTTGAGGTTTTGTATGAACAGGTATGGGAAACCAATTGATGCCATAAGCCGACAGAGGAGAGGGAGACTGGTTATAAAACCCGGCTGCATTCGCCATTGCTGACATTAGAGTTCTATCGACATCCGTACTACGGACATGATAATAAGAACTGTTATATTTATTGGGGACAAATCCTTGGTACTTTGATCGTAACCACTTCCCAAGAAGAAAGTGCTGCTCTACACCTTTGTCTGTAAGCATGCCGAAGCCCTGAGACCAAGCAGAAGGAATTTTGTGTAAAATAGCAGGTATGTTAACGATTGGAGATCTGTCACCATGTCGAAATAAAATATGGAGATGTTTGAGACTATCATTTACAGAATGATTATGAGAGGTGGGGGACAACGCCTCTTGCAAATGTGCTTCATTCGGAGGAAGCCTGGACCAAAACCCGAGAAAAATGAAGAGTATCTTGACCAAATAAGTTGATATACAGGTCATTTGTGCACAACTGTAACTGGCCCTTTAGTAGTACAATATCTACAGAGAGAAGAGACAAATCACCATTAAAACGATTAATAATTACATTATGGGAGGTTAAAATCTGAAATAATCGACTAAGGAATTAGAACGAAAGTGGGCACACTTAATGTCTGTGATTTGCAAACTATGGGTTTTGAATAGCTAGTAACTTAAAATTTGCTGGGATAATGGCGTTGAAACATAAAATCCAAAAAAGGAATTCTTGCCATACAAAACCATGCTGGTGATGGAGTCGTACCCAAAATAAAGATGCCTCATGGAATGATCAAATAAAAAAGGAGTAATTCGAAGAGTGTTCAGATGCATTATGGTCAGTAATTCATTTCTAAAGCGGTAGTTTGTGTATACATTTGATATTGAAAACGAAAATGTCGGAATAAGGATTAAAATATGTGTTTGGGGGTACAAAGAGAGGAACTTGATCGTGACATTTATACGATTATAGATAATGCTGAGTTAAATTTTGCATATGCGATACGAATACTATTTCAAACAATTAGGTAACGAATTTAATAAAGACGAATTAATCACATTAACGTCACTTCTTTCCAGACATAACAAGCAGTAAATTAAAACCACACAACAAGAAAATCAAAGATGATCATAATCAAAGCGAGTTTGTTTTCTAGATAAAAGTAAATTGAAGGTAACTCTGGTTAATTTTGACATAACATAACTCAATTATTTGAATTAAAACTTGGAAATATTTTGAATGGCTGCTGTTTCTTTTTCTCATGTGATTTGAAAATTTGTAAGCAAGAAAAATATATTACCGCTTGAAGATTCCCACTCTTTGATACAATTTGTGTTTACAACAATATAACTTTCCAGATTATTGAACCACTCCGTAATTTTCAACAGTTCAGCAAAATGTAAATACAAACATATGTTATTCAATATTGGAATGCTAATTTATATATTCATAGAACAAACTCTAATAACGTCAACCGAATTCCAATCGGTTGAGACCTAGCTAACACGTATGATAGCATCCTGTGAGTTATTTCACGCTACTACACGTCAAAAGTATTTATCTGGGTTAAATATTCACATTGATACTAGACGATTCCAACTATGTCACTTTGAATGTCACAAACGGCTAAGTTCAAAAGGGGATAAAATCAGAAACACATGTTAAATGTAAACAATAATTTTAATTTGAATATATACGTCACAGCATTTCCGTTGGTATAGAAATAACCTGTAAACAAGATTTTTAAGTTCATTGTACACATAAAACAGAATAATACGGGCGTTAGTGAGTAATGAAGCAACTTACTGTACGTTAATCGGCAAATTTGCCCGTGAATGTTAGATGAAAGTAATTTTCAATAAATATCACTTTGTGATTTTATAACACAACACCAGTTCAAACTGCAATTGCTCTTGCTTTGCTCCTACTTAAAAATGCTAATTCATAGTTTTATTTTGTTGTATTTTATGATTACTGTTTCAAAAAGTCACTGCCCAAACCACACAATCAGTCCAACTAACCTTTACAGTAAGTAATCTTGTACAAGGTACTAACGCTGATTGCTACACAAAATCTGGCAGTTACTTGTGCTATTAATGATTAACTTATTCAATTTGTAGAGGAAAAGTAAAAGGTGTTCTTATTAGGTTGAAATATAATAAGGAAAGAATTTGGAACACAAGTAACCCATGACACTACACAGAGACACTTTAATCTTAAAGTGAAAAAAGGCTGACACTAAAAATATCCTATATGAATTCTCAGTGGAAAGTGCTTTATGGTAATCCGGCTGGAAAATTTTATCTCAGCTAATTGTAGCTATAATGAATCACACTAGACCGTTATACTAACGCACATACGTAAAACATGCATGTTATTCTTGGACACAACATATTACAGTTTTACTTATCTCAGTAAATCCACAGTCGTGTTAGATAAATTCGGGTCATTACCAGTATACTTGTGGTCAACAAGTCATACAGATGCGACTGCATTTGCATAATTATGATGTATTACAATAACCTGTGAAGTGACAATATTAACACAGATTATTAGACTCAACAAAAACATAAAATTAATGGCAAACATCGGTAGGTAGTAAAAGGCTTATCAGCGAACGCTCTAGAATTGACTAATTACTGAAGAACATTTTGAAAGCGGTGCGATAGTTAGTATTATAGTTGTAAAGTAACTAACAGTTAGCCGGAATACAATAAAGTGACCAGGGTATTTTACAAGTAATGCTTTATCAGATGAATATTTCATTAGACCATAGTTACGCTGTTAACTTGGAAAAATCTAGCTGTTGGGGGAACCTAAAGGACTTGAGCTGTTATGGTCATACGACCCGTCTCCAAACAGCCTTGACATCTTGTTTACAATGAAGTCGTAGTTTTAACCAAAATTTCACTGAAGACAAAATGGTATCAAGACACCATAAACAGTGAGATGGGTTTGACATGACTGATACAGATACTAAAACCTAGGAACAAACAGACGCTGGGCAGTAGTGGCATGACAAGCTTACCGTCGCCTTAGAAACTTCAAGCGCGGAGAAGACCTTCAGATTCAAAAACTACCACTCCGTTTTTGTTTTTATTTCGATATCCAACACATTTAAATCGACAAAGCAAGTTAGGCGAAAAATAGCTAGGTGGTTATTCTTTTTGGCAAGATATTGTGATAAATGACAATGTCTTTTGAGTATGGACCAGTACGTGCTCGTTTTACGAACAAGGATTATTAGCTAATAGTTCACATGGTCAATATAGTTGTGGATGGAATAGAAGAAGCTTTCACTTAAAAAGCTTTCGCATCTAGAAGCAGTGGATCATTAATGTTGTTAGGTTGGAACCTAGGTATATATAACGGTAGGAGAGAAAAAAATTGGTAAATCATAGTAAGATACTATCCTTAGTCCTTAAGAATATGTTAAGTTTTCTGAGCTAAGATGTCCTACCAACAACAGGCGCTGAAATTTAAAACGGTTGAATGTGTCTTCTCTACAGGACTACCTACCACAGGTGGATTGGGATGTTCACCCTCAACTTGATGTGGATGCTCATCGGGACTTCTTACTGCACACGCTCTTATGTGCTACAAAGCAAACACCTCCTCAAACGGTCCCCAAAAGCCACAAGCAACCTAAAATCATCAAGAACCGCACTCTTCGTTTGTTAAACCTCCAAAAGCACTGTCGGACAGAATACAAACGAACTGACAACAATGGCTCGTACAGGCAATACAAACATATAAGGAACATACGCACGAAGGATATAAGAGAAAACAGGCTTCAGTACCAGATAAAGCTTACGGAAAAATTTTTATCCGATCCGAAAGGCTTATTCCGTTATGCGGCCTCTCTTCGTCAAGCAAAAACTGGAGTTTCCCAACTGCTGGGTACTAACGACCCGACCAATAACGACGGCGACGCCGCTAACGTTTTGGCTAAACAATACCCCCGGACATTTCAACCGATCCACATCAACTATACTGATGACAGCTTCATCTGCAACTGCACAGGACTTTCCTCAGAAAACCTGAACTCTAATTTGATGTTCCGGAAACTTCAGCACCTAATAAAAGACAATTCCCCTGGCCCAGGCATGGTACAATCTGCTATACTAAGGGAAGCAGCTTCAATCCAGGCAACACAGCTAAGTGTGATGTTCTCACACTCGCTAAGCCGAGGTAAACTACCGGAAAATTGGAAGCTAGCTCGCATCACACCAATTTTCAAAGGAGGTATACGCAGCGAACCTTCAAGTTACCAACCGATGGCTATTCACTCTACATTTTCAAAAATCATGGAGTCCCTTATATGCAACGGTAAACAAGACTATTTACTGTCTTCAAGTCTCCTTTCACCTCAACAGCATGGTTTCAGGAAGGGCTGACTGCGGTGACGGATGGACAAGCATCCACGATCGCAAGGAGAATGTTAACAACATTTACCTTGATTTCTCAACAGCTTTTAATGGGTTCAACCATATATTTCTTATCAGTAAGCTCAAACGATTGAGTATCAAATAGCCTTTAGTTGATTTGCTCACTTCATATCTAGAAAATCGACATTTTAGGGTCAGGGTGACCTTCACTTTCTCTCGGGTCTTGGAATGTTATGGTGAGGTCCCTCAGAGTTCAGTGCTGGGAGCTCTTCGTTTCCTGAATTATGCAAACGATTTTTCGCGACAGGTATCGCCTGGTTTATAACTTTTTGTTGATGTGAAAGTCTGGAGAGAATAAACTGGCATTTCAAAAGGATGTGACTCGTCTCAAAGTTAGGCAGATGACAACGGTCTTACATTTAACACTTCAAAGTGTAAAGTAGTTCATCTGAGACATGATGCTAACCACAGCTACAACTAAGGAAACTTCTCTAGAGGTGTTCTAAGTTGCCTAATATTCGGGAGTGTTGTCATCATATGATATGAAGTCTTACGTTAACTGTGACAAAAATGCTTTCCGATCAAACCTTTCACTGGTAACATTGAAGCGCGATTTTGATTAGTTTGACGGAAGAACTTTCCACATAATCTTCAACAGTTTTATTCGTCCCCATTTAGAGTACGGAAACATAGTATTTCCTCTCCCACTCCAAAAGGATAAGGACATTCTGGAGCGTTTCCAACAGCGAGTCACGAAATCAGTTAAGGGACTCAAATTCAAGTCTTATGAAGAGCGCATTCAAGCACCTAGTTTTTGCCCACCAGAATGTAGGCGTCTCAGAGGTGATCTTCTGATGACTTACAGCATCCTTAACATTTCTGGACATCCCCTTTATGAGAAAACTTGATGATCTACCAATTTTTCTCGTCTATCGTTATATATATCTAGGTTCCAACCTAACGGCATCGGTAATCCACCTTTACTAGATACGTAGGCTCCTTAAGCGTAAGCCTTTATTCCATTGAAGATGCCGCATGTATTCGGAGTTTGACATCGCTTAAACCAGTAACACCTAATATGAAGCGTACCCACCAAGTGAAATCAAAAGATAGAAGTGAGGAGGTCCGAAGATATATTTGATAGGCTATGAATATATCGAGGATCATCTGATCTAATCTGCCTAGCGATTGCAGTGGATGCTGAGAACTGCGTTCCAACACGTGATCTGGTGCGATGCATGACCGAGCTCATTCAGCTAGGTGAGTCCATTAAAACTAATGTGGTCAGAATTCAAGCACATGAAAGGAAATGAATCGTAAAAGCATCCTTTTTTCGCAAAACAGAGATCTGCAATTTGTGGAGTTTTCAATTTCATACCAGGGAATTTCAAAGTTCGTAGGTCAGTTTACTTCTCTCCTTTCTTATTTCTAGCTCGTGCATCACTTTCTTTGCTGGAAGGATTGACGTCATTAGATATAAAGTGGCTGAACTAAAGTCACCTTTGGAACTGTCTTAACTTGGTTGCTTCTGCAAAGCCGTACGAATTGTCGGGATGACGCACCAATCTTTTTACAACAGTTTGACATCAAAGTTCTCAGTAACCCCCGCCAGTCGACGATACCACTGAATCGTCGACGTATTGTGCAAATGTCAGTTTATGTTGACTGGTCGGAAATCTAGTTGACTTGCATATATTTACTCATGAAACACCAACGTTCTTGGCAAACACGTTTGGTAGCGTAAGCCACAATCTTAAATTTTTTTTCTCTACATCCATCGGATATGAGACTGCTTAAGTCATTGACTCTGTTGTTTTGAAATAATATCAACATCTTTGGAACAATAAGTAGTGAGACTGACAATTGTGATCTTCAAGCTGACCTAAACGGACTAGTTAAATCGTCCTAAATTTGAGGTTTAATAATTAATACTAGAGTGAGTGTGATAATGCACACTGGACACGACAATAAATAATATAGACACAACTCATGGCTTCCATCCGTGGAGAAACAGAAAACTTATAAGTAACGTTAGTTATTGATTTATAAGCAACTGCACGTCAAAGCGTAGCAGCTGTCAAAAGTTCTCGAGGGTTATGGTAACTTAAATGAGCACTCAAATGCTTTGACAAGGAGGTGTTTCTAATTTTGTGTCTCATCTTTCTAAGACCACACATAGAGTCAGTCAGCTACAACGTAGGACCAGGCACATATATGCATAAGTTCAAGTTGCCATACCTCATTAGCACAACAAGATGAACACCGAATTCATAGAAGTTGTTACTTCAATGGTAGCAATATATAAAAGAAAGATTTTGTACAGGAATACCATACAGAAAGGGAGAATTAGTTGGTATAAAAAAGATAAAGCGATTGTAATCTCACGTTTTAAGAGAAGATAGTGTGTACACCTACGCCATTTTAATCGATTCTTAGCCAATTCTCCCAGAGGCTCTGACCATTCATTACGATAGTCACGCGGACCCCAACCATCTGCATCTTGATATTTTGAAATGAAATTTAGGTTGGACTTTATTTCAGAGCTCACTTCCGTTGTTGGTAACATTGCTAGTATGCTTGTGAAAGTTCATATCATAAATGCTTCTGTAATATGGTATTCTGCTGCAGCAATAATGCGTCATCTACTAAATTATCTGTCCTAACAAATATGCACATCAGCAACCAATTACTTTCTTTGGGCAGTGATTCCATGCTCTCCAAAAAACACTCATCTGGAGACCACTTTACACGTTGATATTTGGTTCAGTGTTTCTCTCGTGATGACATACTTAACATTCTAAAACACGTTTTATTCTCATTCATCTGATGCTTAATCATCATGGCCTTTTTTCGTATTTTCTCGTTATGATATAATTTTGTTCTCAAATTGTATTGTGTTACATGTTAACTTCAAACTGCTTTTAGCTTTTTCTGTACTAATGCGGTGTGTAGAATTCTGATTATTAAGCTTCGTTGGCAGATAACTCAAATATCTTAACGTTCTAGTTGTTTGCTTAATTCGTTCAGTACCCATTAAGATTGTCTACTAAATACAGTGCTTCATATGTAACTATTTATTATTTTTAAAGTAAATTTCGCTATAATTTTTGTATTCTATCGTTCATTCATGCTTTGTAACAGTCTTAACCTACTGTGTATTCATTTGTTCTTCATATATCGCAAATTTTAGTTTTGAAGGTTTTTGGCTCTGGATTCATGTGTTTTAAGTACTATTGTCTAACATTTCTACTTATTAACTGTAGTGAACCGAAAGTTTGTGCGATAAAGTTATGTCGAGACCCATCTCTGTAGTAGTAGTTGAAAGACACAATGAGGTAAGGCATTTAATACATTATTCAAGGTTTTAAATTATATATACCGGGCTATTGGAAGCAAAACAATATCCTTCTCTGGACTGAAGCTATTACATTTTGACTCTCATCCTGATATGGGTATTCCGGATGTCGAGTGTTCAGAAATTTTGAGGGACCCTGAACAACTCATGAGGTTTGTCGTGTCGTCTTAACGTTTCTCAAACTCCAGGAAAGTAAGCATAGAAAACTGGATAACTCCAATGATATATGCTGGTCATGTTGATCATGTCATCTGGATGCACCCAACATGGTCTCGACAGCTCTTGAATAGGAAGCCAACATGCTATTCTATCGGTGAAGACCTGTGCACGAAAAGATTAGTGTAAGTTGTTTTTTCATCGAAATGAACCATCATAACATGGCGCCATCTAGTTTATGTGGTGTATGTGGCTTATCATTCCTCATTTTAAAATTTAACGTAGACACTGAAAGATATACAACTGTCACATTAACCCTAACTTTTGATTGTTTCAGTATAAGGATAAGATATAAAATAATGCTAGCGGAAAGTGCTCACTATAAACATTTGTATTTATTGCCATCATGAATCTGTTAATGATGATTTTTATTGTTAATATATTATGCTTGTGGTTTTAGAGATCGACCCGCACGAACACTTATTGTCATATTCATACTACAAAGCGTTAATATCCTGTTATGTCATCATACCAACACAGCATGTTCTGAATATTTTGGACGAAGTGTAGGATGTTTAGAAGTTCTTGTGAATTGGTTTGACTTACATAGTATAACTCATAATTTTTAAATACCAGGTGAACTGGGTAATAGACTTCGCTCATTAATAAGTTACTTCATCCTGATGAGTTGATAATCAACGAAACTCCTGTATCGATATTGCACGGCAGTCTGCGTTTTGCTATTCTATGGCAGTGACCAATGATCACTTATAACAAAAGACTACGTTATGGGCATTTATGCATAAGTATCTCAATAGTAATATTTTTTGCAATAAAACAGATGAATGATTATTCCGGAGTTATGTACGGAGGGCAGTATAAGTCATTTGATATTATAGTTAATTATAAAGTCCCTGTATCTTATAACGAAACTGTACACCGTTTCGGAAGTCTGGTTTACGTCAGTTTTTATCACTACGTCATTCCAATAGTACACGTAATTTTATTCTGCACCTCTTCAAAGTATGGATGTCTGACAGGTCTCAGATCATTATTGTCCTCCAACAGTTGTCTCAACTTAGTATCATTATGTAAAAATATGATGGGATCCGGCGACACATGTCTAGGCGCAATGGTCGTATTTATTTTATTTATTTATTTGAACACATTAATATTGGTACAGGGGGGCACCAAATATATATGCGCCACACAAAACAATGAGAATTTAAGAAGGGAAAAAAAAGTAAGGAACGTAGGGGATTATAAAATAAAAAAAGAACAATAATGGGGGAGACGAAAAGGTACACTCAGAAGAAATCTTACAGTTAAGGAACATACAACCACTTTTTATGAAGAAAGTAAAAGAAGGTTACAGCAGGATCGCCACTGGCTTCTATTTTGAGCCATATCTGATAACGTCTCTAGCCACTGTGTTACACGATCTCTCGGACCCCAGCTAAGGGAGTCGTGAAGGACCAACAGAAGCCAGCCCTTTGCAGCTTCCTTTCATACCACGACACCATGTCATACACTGACCATCTCTCCGCTTTTTCCAACCAGTCCCAGGGTCGGCAAATAATGCACGACGTGGAATTCTCTGGGACGACATTCGTAGAACATGTCCAAGCCACCGAAGTCGGTGTTTCAAGATGGTGACACCAATTTCATTATCGTCTCTGTGCCCGAACACACGATGCCGAACCTCTGCATTACTGACATAGTGTTGCCACTGGATGCCAGCAATCCTTCGGAGACAGCGATGATCGAACACAGAGAGTCGTTTAACATCCTCAACTCGGAGAGGCCAGGTTTCATAAGCATAGAGCAAAATTGCTCTCACCGTCGCGTTGTAGATCCGAACTTTTACAGCCAGACTAACATCACGAAGGCGCCAAAGATGGCCCAGATTGGCATAAGCCACTCTAGCTTTCGCTATACGTGCATTGATCTCATCACTCACGCCACCACCAGCACTTATGCAGCTACCTAGATACACGAACTTCTCGACTATTTCTATCTGCTCACCATCCAGGGTGAGTACAAGATTAGAATCCTGCCAGTCTTGTAGAAGTACTTTGCACTTCGAAGGTGCAAAGCACATACCACACCCACGGACATTGATTGCCAACTGATTAAGTGCGGATTGAATAGCTGGGGCATTCTCGCACAGTAAGACAATATCATCCGCATACTCAAGGTCGAGACGTCTTTCTCCAGGCAACAGATCCACACCACTACTTACAACCATCAGAGCTGTTTCCAGAATGTCATCGATGGCAAAGTTAAAGAGGAATGGTGAGATTGGGCAACCCTGCCTAACCCCACTGCTCTAATGGAATAGTGGAGGAAGGTGGTTGTATGCCCTCACTCTGCCTGAGGTGTTTGTGTATAGGGCTTTTAGGATGTTAATAAACTTCTCAGGCACACCCTTCTTCAATAGACAATCCCAGAGAACAGTTCTGTCCAACGAATCGAAGGCAGCCCTGATGTCAAGAAACACTACGGTTGTTGGCTTTTGATAAGTATGGCGGTGTTCTAACATTTGGTGGAGGGTGAAGATATGATCAATACATCCTGGACTGGAACGAAAACCAGCCTGCTCCTCGCGAGTCAATCTTTCTCGGGTTCTGAACAACCTACAAAGTATGACGGAAGCCAATAGCTTGGACGCGATCGGAAATAGACTTATCCCCCGATAGTTGTTACAGGAACGACGTGAACCTTTTTTAAAGATAGGGACAACTATTGACTCATTCCATGACGTTGGTACACTTTCTAGTTCCCAGACCTTTGCAAACAACGTCGTCAGTCCCTTAGTCAGAAAGTCACCACCATGTTTAAAAAGAACCGGAGGTAAGTCATCTGGGCCCGGTGATTTGTAACGTTTCAAGAGTTGGAGTTCCTTGCGGACTTCCGCCTCATTTGGTGGATCAGTCGTCACCGGCCATGGAGGGTAGGACAGTCTGACCGACGTTGCCGGAGCAGCAGGCCAGTTGAACTGCCTTTCAAAGAATTCTGCCCATCGTCCAAGACGTCGATGGATGTTAGTGATCGGCGTTCCATCATCCTCACAGATTGTTTCGCTCACACCAGACTTCTTGCTGCCAGTGGTTCGGATGAGTTGGAAGAGCTTCTAGAAGTTACCAGATGCAGCTGCTGCTTCCAGCTCATTAGCGCGCTCCGACCACCAGGCTTCTCGGTCCTTACGCAAGCTTTGCCCGATTTCATTACGTAACATCCTTCGTTTGTGGTCAAACTCACGGTCACCCGGAGTAGACCGACGGGCTTCAATCAGTTGTAAGGAACCAGAAGAAACCCAGTGCTTGTAAGCGGGACGTTTCGCGAACCCACAACTGACTTGACCCGCCATTTTCATGGCGTCATGCAATTGCAGCCAATGCTCATCTATACTTTTCGGTGGAATGGTAGCTAACCTAGAAGCTAGCTCGGTTCGGTACTTACTAGCAACAGAAGTTGCAGCCAGCTTGCTAACATCAATCCTTTGGTGGCGGTCACTTCGTTGTCCACTGAAAAGTAAGGTAAGATTGGCGCAGACCAGAGCATGATCAGATTCCAGATAGGTACTTCAAAAGGAGTGGCAGTCTTGTACACAACCACGCCAGCGGTAGCTGATCGCGATGTGATCAATCTGTATCCAGGCTTGAGATGTAGAAGGGGGACGCCAGGTGGCACATCGGCGATGACTGTGCCGAAAGTTAGTGCTAGCCAGAAACAGGTTGTGGTCTGTACATAGTTGCAGTAGACGTTCCCCGTTATCTGTCCTGCGACCAACAAGTCCCCATCGGCCACCTAAACGACTCTCTTCAGTGCCTAGACGCCCGACCTGAGCATTCAAGTCTCCGGCTAGTACTACAATATCTGTCGAACGCACTTTCTGGAGAAGAACAGTTAACTGGTGGTAGAGCTCATCCTTGATTGCATCCGGGCTGCAATCTGTCGGGGCATAGGCGGAGATGACGAAAAGACATCGTTTCTCACGCCGATTTCTCACTTTGATGGAACTTTCTAATCTAGCAGCACATAACCGACTGTTAATGGGGATCCAGTCGATTAGTGCTGCCTCAGCTCTAGCGCTTAGGGCGACACCAACGCCAGCAAGACCAGACGAAGATGCCACAGGGGTCCCCGGATAAACGCACATAAAACAAGCTTTTTGAAGTGACAGATGGAGAGCGAATTTGTAGTACTTCACCAGAGTCTTGAATACTGGTCTCGGATAGACAACAAACGTCTATATTAAGACTTTCCAAAGACATAGCCAGTCCTATCTGTTGTCCGACCTGCATAAGTGTGCGAACGTTAAAGGCAGCCAGTTTGAATGGTGTGCGTGGTTTCAGAAAGACTGCTTCAGTAGTCTTATTCGATGGTAACAAACAATTTTCAACCAGGCTGTGACTCGAGAACGTTTAGATAGAGCCGAATGTCCACCATAGGCGAGCTGCTGTATAAGTCGAAAAATAAGGATAGATAGAATGGAAATAAAAGAGAGTGAATAGATGACGCAGTAACTAATAATAATATTAGTAGTAATAATGTTAATTGTTTGACGATAAATCGCAGCGTGAACAGAGTTTTCAGAGAAGATCATCATTTTCATTATATTTGTGTGTGGGCTGTAATACTGCCCGGGTGCCCAGTTCGAAGCAGATGGTTTTCTTAGGGGGCCACACCCCGAGCCTTCGACCTAAAGGTCTAACCCACAAGGCAGTGGAGCGTCGTGAGGAGATGCAGTCCCATGGAAGCCGGTGACCAAGAAATTGGTTCATACGCCTTTTGTTCCTTCAGGATACTGGAGCCCATGTGCACCATTGATTTGAGATCCGGTTATAGCGCCGGACGTTTGCTTTTCGTCCTCTCATTTTCGTAAACAACACCCGTGGCGCGAGAATGCAGTGAGTAGGACTTCCCTGGCAGAGGCTATATACGCGTGGCCGTGTGAGAGTATTTCGAGAGGGAGGGCGAACCCACCCCACTCTCGTCCATACCAGGGCATTTGGGGGCAATGGTCGTGCTTCTGTTTGCTCACCCGGGCATTATCCCAGCCCTCACACAAGTCGAATGACGAAGTGTGGCGCCTATATATTCGGTGCCTCCTCATACTAATGTTTATGTATTTAAATTCATAATAATAATAGGAGTAATGGTGAAGGTTTCATAAGTGTCGCTATTTTGAAAATCGAACTTGGTTCACTTGGACGTGTTTTGCATACAAAGTTCCAAGTGCTTTAATGCTGCGCACTATTTAGTGATTCTGTTTAAAAAAGAACGGCGGACCTGTTAGTTTACGACGTAGTGCCTCAGAATAATGGATGGTATAATACATGCTGAGTCCTTGGGGTTTTATAGTTTAGAGACGGTCGGAAGTCAATCAGAACAAATGTCAGTTGAGTTCTTGTTGGTGTTTTGGTTATGTTGTTCATAATTTCGAAAGATATAAGATTACCGTTGGCTGCTTTGGGTGACTAAATGTTTCTTCAGTCATGTGTTTCATACACCTTATTTATTTATTTGAACACATGAATATTGGCAAAAAGGGGCAACGAATACATATACGTCAGACAAGTCACTTCGGTTGTGTGTAGGCCATGATACTGCCCGGGTGCCCAAACCAAAGCAGGTGGTTTACTTAGGGGGTCACACCCGGAGTCTGTGACCAGAAGGTCTAATGCACTAGGCAGTGGAGCAACGTCAGGAGATGCAGTCCCGTGGTAACCGGTGACCAACGATTGGTTCATACGCCTTTTGTTCCTTCAGGATCCTGGGGCTCATGTGCGCCATTAATTTGGAATGAGGATTTTCCAACTCCCTTAGATGAACTAACCGTATCCATGAAGTTAATTAGTATGTAACTTACTGTATGTACACAATTTACAATATCATAAGTTGGGCGACCACGAACTTTCGAAACACTGTCCGGTTCTACCAAACTAATTTTAAATGGATCTTAATTTCTCCATTACCAAGTATTGAGCTTTGCTTTACATTTTAAATTGAAGCTAAAATTGGAGACTGACTTTGAAATTGCACTTTTTCTGAAATGCTACAAACTGGACTAAGAGAACTTCTCATTCAATATCTCAGTTATCTACTTTTATTAGCTTTAAGATTTTTATGTCTTTGATCCAGTAACAATTCGATTTCACCAGTTATTTGTATAGTCTATAACTTCAGATAGGTGAAGTTACTTTGCTGCTGACTGTATGAGAACCATTGTTTACAACGACATAATCAAGCAAAATCACTCACATTTACTCTTGTTTTGTAAATCTCCAATACTTATTACTTTCTCTACCTACTGTCAATCTTCTAGTTATATTCTAACTTTATCAGACTAACAGTTTACTACTTGTTCTTTTGAAGAAATTCACCTATTATACAAACTGCCTGTTAGCTTCTAGATAAATTTTTACAAAACGTGTTTGATTTCTTAAGTGATTGCATGTTGGAAATCTTTTCTTATCATTTAACTGATTATCAAACTTTAACATCCTTACAAATTTATGTTGTAGGGTCGGCATCCCTGAGTCCTATTTCTATAATGATGGTGTATTCTGTATGGAAGAGGATATTAGCTCTCCTGTGAAATTCGGGCTTACAGTAGCTCCAATTCATGAAACAAATACGTTATGTAGAGTGTGTACAGATATCATATGTGTATTGCTTAACCAGTCTTTTATTCTGGATATTGATTTGGATACTTTTTCCACTCAAAATCCACTTTCTAATAAGTTTACAGAGGAACAAGTAAGCAAGCATACCTATATATTTTGAATTCGGATGTTTTCATGTCTCTGCCGAATAAATTCGAAATTACATATCTATCGATTATCAATAAAACATTTTACTATTTTTCTACCATTCAGAGCATGTAATGTTTTGAAAATTCCCAGTAGAATAAATCTCAACCGTGTGCAATTTTCTACAGTCGCATTTCGTAGGTATATGATACTTTGTATGACATTCAAATATGGTTGTTCATTTGAATACATCTGACCCATATAATGGATCCTCACAGCCCACCCTTCATATACCTTAAAGTTGCCATGCCAACTTATTGTAATCTTCCAGGTGTAGTGCTGGGGGTGTAAATCTTAATCACAGCTAGTAAGAGAAGATTAAGCGAAGAATTACTAATTAATTTTAAACGTGACTTCCATCCATGTGATTTTCAAATGATTTTGTGTCCAAGTGATAATTGTTCAGTTCGATAATTTTCGTAATTAATAATCACTGAACTTATATAATATGTAAGTAAATACACTCAAATGTGACTTGATTTTTTTAAAACGTCTTTATTAAATAAATCTCTCATTCAAAATTTATACTTTGAAATAGTTGCGTTCAAGAAAGAAATAAGCTATAGTATCCATGTTTAAAATATTAGCGTAAGTGCGGTCACCTCAGGTACAGGTATAGCTTCGAGTTTGAAATAGGACGTTGCAGTTCTGGACTCGATAACTATCGATAGTTTCACTTGGACTAAGTCCAATATTACCTGTAAGAACCTGTTGCTTGCTGTTTCACTAAGTACAGTCCAAATAAAATGAAGTTAATCTTTACCTTAAGCTAACTAAACTAAAAACTCAGACACATATGCAGTCATTGTAGCATCCAACTAAATCTCTTCATAGAATCACTTCTAAGTGGGGCTTTTTGTATTTCATTTCCGAAAACAAAGATTAGTAGTTTTTATGTTATTGTACTCTGACAACCATTTGTTTATAAGGAGTATCAAAATTAAATTGATTGAGATACGTTGGTTATCACGATAACCAATTGCACGGGCAAACTGTATTACCATCAAAGTCGGCGGAGATCGACAAAGTGGTGTCACTCCAGGATTGTATATTTGAACTCCGACCATACTGTAGTATTAACAAGTACAACTGTACTCCTTGTTGGCAGCTGGAAAGTATGGAGTGATAATACTTCTTTAAGGTAGGGTCATAAATAAATTTAATAATAAAGGCATATCTAAATATGAACGAATTAGGCACTTAGTTGAAGCATGAAATCTCCCCTGAGATATCCTGGGATGATCATAACCTTGGTGTAAAGACGTCTGTTATCAACATTGAGTTAAAAGGCAAAAATTAAGTATATTTCCGCAGCTTTTTAACTGACGTCTTTAAAAGTTCATAAGTAGTTATAACCAATCTGAAGTGCAGAAGAACAACAGATTTTGGCTGATTAACTTTACATATCTTTAACAATAGTGATCGATAGTCATGATCTGAATTAACTGATCTCAATCGCCGACTTTCCTAGGTTACATAAACAGACAGGCTCCTTATCAATAATCAATCGTTAGACTTCTGTTTATCTATCTAAGACTGACTCATATTTCCCCATTTTGTTACAAAAAACGGTTTGTTGACGAAGAATCGTAAGTAGAGTTTCAGAGCACCAACTCATTTTTCTAAATAATAACAACAGTGTGTTTTCTCCCGGCTATATTACTTGGTTATTTTTATTTACTTAATGTGGCTGAAGTTTAAATTAGTTGTTTGTAATATGACGGGCGAATAGAAGTATTTCCTGCTTGCCACAATATACTAATATTATAAGATAATACAGCTGGTGATCGAAATTATATTACTAGACTGGATACTCGATGGACAGGTAATATACAGACTGGATCACGTCATACTGAATACGTGATTTGCAATCATAAATAGAGAACTAGAGTGTAGGCTAAACAATACTTTGTTCGACACAATTACAAGGAGTCTGTGTTTAGTGAGTCCAGAATAGAAATTGTTATTAGAAAGGAAGTCATACATTAAACAGTAAGTGTTTGCCTGTCTATAATCAGCGCTCACTCACATCTTACTTTTACTAGCCACACATCAGTCTGATAGTAAGTCCCTTTAATACTTTACTATGGTTTTTATTGGATCCCATATATTTACAAATAATTAGTAGTGATATATTATTTTTCTAAAACTGTCTTTGATTTTAGTTTGAAATTATTGATCGCTTGTATGCTCCACCCCCACCGCTTACTTTGTGTTTGTCTCCGAAAGATTTGGAAGATCCAGCCGTTATTGTGGCTCATGGTATGAGCAGTGCTCATGTCTTAAATGCTGCTCGAAAACGTCAGTTAACTCGTCTTTCACAATGGATTTCTTGCTGGGATCGTGGAACAATTCCATCAACTGAGGATTTTCTTCTATTTCCTTATGAATTAATGGAGTTTTCTCGATTAATCCTCTCTCTGACTGAACAGAAATTTAGTTCTACTGTCTTAAGAGCAGTTAAAAAAACTCTAGATTTAGCTTACAAACAAACTACTCATAACAAAAATCCGCCATTGATTTCACTCGGTTCCGATGATGAAACCATTCAAAATGCTTTAAGTAAGTTTTTTCTTAAAGTACAATAAATTTAAACTTCAAACGTTTAACTTCATTTTTATTTCACCCCGCGAATTACTTGACTTTTTAAAATCATAAAAGGGTTTTTCTTTAAGTTAATATAAATAGTAAAAGAACACATTGAAGCGAAACGAGTATTAGTTTGCTAGTTACTTTTTGATTCCTTTGAAATGTACATTTTATTTATTTATTTTTCAAAATATAGTAATTTGGTCAGTCAGTCAGAAACAACGTACATCAGTTCGAGTTGCCATATCACATTAGCACAGAGATGCAGTTGTCGATTCAAATCCCGTAGTGGGTGAGGTAGTAAGTGTATAAGCAGTAATCGGAAAGACTAGGGTTTGAAGATGTTATTCAAGGAGTGTAATCCGTTGCAATAAATTTAGAAAGAGAAAAAATAAAGAAAGAGATATGAAGAATTCAGAAGATTAGAATTTGGGAGAACACAAAGAGTGGATGCACCTGTGCCATTGCAAACGATTTTGAGCCATGTCATTCAAGGTCTCTAACCATCGGTTGGTATACTTCATCCTTAGTGTTCGTGAATATGATAAACCAGTTGACATGTGTCACAAGATTTTTAATCTAACTTTCAGTTGCCATCTACCTTTTAACTGACATTATCTTTGAATATTATAAATATATAACATCCTTCATTCTGTATAGTGTTCAGTATTGTTAACAATAATCTTCATCTTTGCTGAACTGTAGGATTAACTAGATTTCGGGGTCATTTTAGATATTGTGAAGTTCTTCAAACTATCTTTAATTTAAAGCTTATAGATCGATTAAAACTCAAACAAAAGTTGTCATCCGTGGTAAAGAAATAAAAATTGTAATATTTCAATGACTAGAAAATTGGACTTCTGACGTTTCACGGTTGTTTCTTCACAAATTAAATGAAGAAAATAAACCAATACAAATTTAAATAGTTCATAAGAAGAAAAAACAGAATATGTTTAGTTCAATTAAAATAAGTCGGGTCATTTTCATGTCATTGTGGTCAAATGTGAATGTGAAAAAGTATTATATTTGTAGTGTTGATGAGCAGAGTTGAGTAGTTGTGTGTCTATTTATCAGAAATATGTGGTTCGATTTCGGTCATAGACAAATCAGCAATAATGGACTATACATATGGTAGTTTCATCAACAGTGCCATCTGACTACATATCTGGCTCAGATAAGTAAATGATACAGTTATCGTCATTAAAAAGACTGCAAAGTGACAAATACTAACTTAGCTTTAATCAAATTTATTTTGAGTAGGAAATAAACTCAATGAACTACTGGTTCTAGACTATTTGGTCTAAAGGGATTCTAATGCGAATCTAACTCAATGCGCCCATTCAGTTCACAAATTTCACTGTTTGTAAATTTATCCAAAAGAGCAACCAAAATCTTTACATCATAACAAGAGAAACAAATCAAAGAGAAGAATATAGTTAGCATTCTACAGTTTCGGAATTTACTCATGAATATTATTTAAAATGTACTAAAATGATCTGTTGTTAAGTAATGAGTCAAATGTAATATCATGAGTTGGTACTGTAGTTTTACTCTATCGCCGCGATACAACAAAACTGCAACAAATCTTTAAACTACAAAGAATTAAAGCTTTCTTACAGGTGACGAACACACTTCAGAACGCTTTAATTTAAATAAACGAAAAAATCCATTATGCCTCGACACATAATTATATCTACAGATTAGGATTCTTAGATTGTGATAGTTCGTATATTAGATAGTTATGTTGTAGTGAGTTCTTTGGCAAAATGTGAAAACCATACGTTCAATACTTCATTTGCAAATCCCCCATCAATTGTCTCAAACTCCATCGTTTCTTCATTGCTATAACAATTACTAACTGTTCCCATTTTCTTCTATTCGATCTTCCCAACTTGTTGCTGCCAGGCATTTCACCTCTGATTTGTGTTGTATACTATTTATGTCGACATAAATAGAATACACCACAATGTCGTAAAAGTGCGACTCACACCAAGGAAGATTTAAACTACACAAAAGACCTCTTAATAATCCTGTTGAACTTGTGAATCTTCAAATCAGCAATAGGAGTACATTCAATTCTGAACACCCACCAAATCGATATTAATAATTCGAGAACGCTTTTCCAACTGTAACGGAAGGTGAGCGGCTGAAGCTTTTTATATATTGCTGAACCCCATTGCATACAATAAAAACCAAAAGTTAACTATCCATCCGATTTGGATTGTTTATTTAGAAAACCACATATTTCGTTTTGTTCACATCTCACACCGCTAACAAACATACAAATATTCAACTCTGTTCTTAAACACTACTTTTTCCACACTTACTAAAATACGCGAATGTGCGTCTCATAAAAAAATCACTTTTGACCGCAATAACATACAAACAATCCGATTTGTTTTGATTGAACTAAAAATATTTTCGAGTGTTGTGAAGGTTCTTAAGTTTCATTACAACCACAAACCCATCAACCAACCATTGAAGACTTTGAATTACTGAACGGCCGTGCGAGACCGGAGGCTCTGGGTTCGATTCCCAGTCTCGCAATCGTTGATGTATATAGCTAAGAAGTCCCGTGCTAGGACGAAATGACTGTCCAGTGATTCCGGGTTTTAAATGGTGGTCTAACATTGATCACTTCTAGATTTCAATAAATATATTCTACTTTGCTTCTTATATACTATTTAAACTTGTATTGGTCTAATTTTTTAGTTATTTATTCTGTCGTGAAACGGCTCATAGTAAACCGCAAATTTTTAGGAATCCAATTTCCCACTCATTAGGATATTACGAATCTATATTTTATTACTAACTCATCAGCCCTTGTGGTTTGGTGTGTGACGAAATCTCAGTACGGATACAGAAGGCTCGACTAGCTTTTGCCAACTTGCGTCATTTGTGGCGTAGGCGAGATATCCGTCTATCAACCAAAGGACGTGTTTACTGCGCAGCAGTTCGTTCCGTCCTACTTTATGGCAGTGAAACATGGCCAGTAAGAGTAGAGGATATTCGTAGGTTACTAGTATTTGATCATAGGTGTCTTCGAAACATTGCTCGTATATCCTGGGACCACCGAGTAAGTAATGCAGTTGTTAGGAAACGGGTACTAGGTAAGGATGGCAAATCAATTAATGAAGTAGTGAAACTTAATAAGTTGAGATGGCTGGGACATGTGTTGCGCATGCCCGACCACCGACTGTCCCTACGTGCTATGTTTTCTGGTGTAGGAGTAGGTTGGAAGAAAGCTAGGAGCGGCCAGACCAAAACATGGCACAAATCCATGAAGTCACTGACAAGTGGACTGAGCCATGTTGGAAAGTGTAGAATACCTGGTTGGGGACCGCGAGATGATAGCAACCGATGGTTAGAAACCTTGAATGACATGGCTCAAAATCGTTTGCAATGGTGCAGGTGCATCCACTCTCTGTGTTCTCTCAAACTCTAATCTTCTGAATTCTTCATGTCCTTTATCTTCTTTCCAAATCTATTCCTCTGGATTAAACTCCTTAAATAACATCGTCAAACCCTAATGTTCCCTATCACCACCTCTACCACTACGGGATTTGAATCGATAACTGAATCTCTGTGCTAATGTGGTATGGCAACTCGAACTGATGTACGTACGTACGAAGTTCCACGTTGTTACTGACTGACTGACTAACAATCTATTCAATGCTCGATTTGTTTGATATTATCAGGTCACACCTTGGCAATGATTCATGCCAATTATCGTGGTTAGTTTGTTTAAGTTTATCGATTAAGCTTAATGTTTTATAATTCGGAATTCAGTTATCAAGAGGGATTGGATCACTCACATACTGTAACCAGTTCGTTAAATTTGCGTCCTAATTACTGTTTTACCAAATGCTTAATCGTAATTTTACTCGAAACAAATGGTGTATTTAAGCGATGTGACTGTTGAGGTCGGAGATTAGGTAGAAATATCACAGTTGTGTATACATTACAGATAAAGTAGCTGAGACGTATGATTTAAGCAAATTTTCTACAGGATTTACTCCCTAGTGTTCCTATATTTTTTTGTATATAGTTACTTAGTTATTCAATTGTGGAATCACTTTGTAGTTAAAACTTCATTTCTTATATATATATATATATATATATATATATATATATATATATATATATATATATATATATATATATATATATATATATATTTCATTCCAGGAGAATTAACTAAGGGTTCTAATTCCAACTTGACCAGAAGCTTACCTTTGGACCAGAACACTTCGGAAAGTAAGGATTCTTCATTCGTATCGGACTACACTAGCTTTATACCAATGAAACGTCGTTCCAGTAGTCCTGGCAGTGTATATACAGATTCAAAATCAAAACTACGTTCATCCGAACCATTTGTAACATTTAATAATACGAGTCCGGCTGAAGTTGATGAAAATTGTCAATCGTCAAACACTTCTCAGTATTCTATGGAAGTAGATGATGCGGATACCTGTAATCATAATGGTTTAAATGAAAATCGTAGTTTGAAAGTAGTTTTGACTAAATTGGAAGCAAGTCCAAACACATCTTGTATAATTGATGATGACAATGAGGGTGATGATGCTTTAAGTGTTCAACAATCTGCTCCTCCCCTATCAAATAAATATAATGAAGAAAATCTGAATTTTATGCATTACTTATGGTCTGGGTGCGCAGATCAAAAATACAATGCATTGCCACATTCTGTAAGTATAATTATTCTATGCTTTTTCAACTAACTCTCAACTGAACACCGATACTATTGAAATTTTGACATATATGAATGTCACCTGGTGGAGTTAGACGTACGAATTAAGTAAAGGAATAATATGAGAATCTTGATGAGTGACATAATTTTAAAAAAGCTATATCAAATATGTTAATGTTCTGAAAGTTAGAGTAAACACAATAAATTCGAAAATAACAGTAACGTTTTTTCAACAATATAGTATTACTGTGGTGTGTTCTGCTGATGTCAACAGATATAAGTTGTATGTGTCATCAACCAAAAGCGGAATGCCTGGCGGCAGAAGGTTAAGAAGGTCGAACAGAAAAAAATGAGAAAAGGGAGTGATTGGTATGTGAAAATGAAGAAACAATAAAGTCTGAGACAGATGATGGACATTTTGCAAATGAAGTATTTACTATATGATTTTCAGATTTTTCTAAAAGATTCTGCAATTCCGCATTCAAATATATTTGGTTGTCCTCACTTGTTGTCTCATTCCCTACATTGTAGCATGAAATATAGAATTCTTCACTTATACATGAATACAAATTATTTCTATTATTTTGACAATGATTTTTAAAACAGTATCATAAACAAAAATTCTATGATTCAATTAATCATGTATGATTTATTTATGACCAACAGACAGTTATCTGCAGCATGAAGTCTAACACAGATGTGTATTGGGTCAAGCTGCTTCAGTACATTTTTATTAAGAGATTTTATTTTATTGCATACTAATAAATCTAATTGTGCGCTAGATACGGCTTCCTAAGGTCTTCTAGTAACCCACAGGCTAAATCTACAGAGCAACCTGAACACGAGAGAAGAGGCACGAAATATGGAAAAAGCGCTTTTCTCCAAGGTTCATTTTTGTACAGAAAAACTAGGGTATTTATAGCATTTTAGATGGCCTTGGGCTTCCATAAAATTCTGAAACGCTACTAAACATAGTATCAGTGCAGGTAATCATCCAATCAGGGACGCGACGTGTGACTTTTCACTTTTTAAATGTCTCTGGCAAAATCTCTATTGGATGGTGATTGCATAAGACGTTCCTCAGCGCTTTCAGAGCTTTTTTCGAGCTTCCTTTTTTAGGTGAAATTAATTTTAGAAGAAATATGCTGTAGTAAGGGTTTTCCTGTTCATTGAAAGCCTTTTTCTATTTCTCAGATAACCACTCTCAAAGAACAGAATGAATTATGTGAACAAATGGAAGGTTTGTTAAATCGTTTACACAATCCTTGTATGATTACGATTGCTAGATCTGTATATGATGGTTATACTCCTACTGATCAAGTATCTACCATACAACTCGGTTTATTACAAATGCTTGATCGTGTTTATGGGCGTAATTTACTTTCAGTCACTTTAGATTATGAAAAGTAAGTAACATTTTACTTGATTTCTCTTACAGTTTATAAATTGATCATTTTTTCCGCAATTATTATGTTGTCCCTTATACAACTTATCAATAACTTATTGACTAGCTTCTTTGAACAAAATATGACTTCATAAAAATTCTTTAAACTCTATATCTGCAGAACAGGAAAACAAGAGGACGAACATGTTAGAAAGTATCGACTTTTACTGAAGGAACACAAAAAAAGTGGAATGAGGTGTAGACGAATTAATTGCTAGCGATCTAAAATAGAAAGGAAACTAATTATCACTTACGTCGGTTTAAACCATCTCGATAATCACATTTCCACATCACCACTCATAGGAACAGTTAGTTAGGGTCCATTGACACAGATGTCACTTATTGATCTTCATGTACATACAGTCCGCAAAAATACGTCAATATGTTGATAAACAAAAATAATGTCAAACCTGAAATAGATATGATATTGTCACATTACATAGCTGTACAACTAGAGGAAGCCAGCTAAAAAGAAAACGAAGGAACTAAAATGATTGTTCCGATAGCACTATGAAATTAAAAGTGAGATAAGTTACAGTTATAAAAAGAAACAGAGAAGTATGAAATAATACTTCGTATGAGATTTGAAAAAAATAAAATCTTCACTGTTACATGCGATTTTCAATCGTATAATGTAAACTTCTTGAATGTGAATCAAAATTATCATACAAACTGAAATCAAGAAGTTCACATCTCCACTTACAAACCAGAACAACAGTCAAGGGTTGTCTATTCATACTTTGTCTTGATATAGTTTCAAATGACATTCTACATATTTTTACGCTGATAAGTATAGTTCAGTGGATTAATTGATACCTAGATATGTATTCCAAATGTGTTAACCATTTTAATTTGCAAAAATCTCAGTCTCATTAACGGAATATCTCTTACTTTAACCCACTATTGTATACCCAACTTCACCACTGTTCCGTTGATACTCGTAATGTACGCGATATGGATGAATGCACACAATACTTACACAGATCAAGTTAGTTATTTGAATAGAAAAATATTAAAACTTACACTAGTCTTTCACTGACCTTTTTTCTTAAGGTATTCTCCATCTTAACCGATAAATCACGAAGTACTGTTTCGTATGAATTATCATTCTCTAAATTTTCTTCAAATAAAAACAAAGGAAACTGTTCTTGTTATAACGTGTGATCCGTCTATTAGAGAGCAGCCTATTATCGATCGAAACAGTGACGCATAAAACACGAGCAAGCAGCCTAGAGTCCTGATTGGTCCTGCTTCCCTGTCTAGCCCAGCCAATTGAGTCCAGAACACAAGTCTCAGCCTCGGAGATATGAATCATTATATTTCAAACATACTCTGTTTATATAGCAATCAAACAGACTACATCGTACCATAAAATAGAAAGTAACATTTGTACAAGATTTAACCTTCAGGAAATGACACAAATAAATATTGACCAATAAGGAGATGACACGTTGGAAGAATGTTGACCAATGGGGAAATGACACTACTTCTCATTCAGGAATGGCATTAGATAATTTCTGGGGTATTTTCTGAATACCCCAACAATTCTGTTGTGTGAGTAATCACCAATACAGAACATTTATAATGGTGATTTGGCTTTTAACTGTTATATTTGTCTGGTTGATTAACATTTCATTTGGTATACCTCGGAAAATTTAAAAATCAATTAAATTTTCACTATTTGATTCACCCAGATCAGTCGTAATTAACTGATATTTTTACATGTTGAAGAAAATGGAGTTAAGTATTAAAAATTACGACTTCGTTCTACTGAGTATTGCCTTTTTTCAGTCGCTTATTTAGAGGAAAAAGGGAAAGCCCCAAAATGTTTTTTGGACACATCAATTTATTTGTATTTAGAATCATCATTTGGTAACTCTACTTTTCGGCTGCATCATTGTCTAGTTTGATCTATCTACTTAATGGATTTGTCTATTTTAGCGACAATGAATTCTGTGCACTTCATGTGGGAGTTGGAGGTGGAATCTTCAGCGCCCCCAAATGCCCTGGTACGACCGAGAGTCGGGAGAGTCCACTCTCCCTCTCGAAATGCTCTCATATGGGCACGCGTATATAGCCTCTGTCAGGGAAGTCCTGCTCACTACCTTCTCGTGGCGGAAATGTTGTTTTCCAAATTGAGAGGACGAAAAGCGAATGTCTGGAGCTTTAACTGGGTTGGTGGACATGGAGAGCCTACCTGGATGAGTTGGAAAACCCTGATTCCAAACCAATGGTGCACATGGGCTCCATTACCCTAAGGGAACAAATGGCGTATGAATCAATTGTTGGTCACCGGCCACTATGAGACTGCATCTCCTGACGTTGCTCCACTGCCTTGTGGATCAGACCTTTGGGTTGAAGCCTCCGGGTGTGGCTTCCTAAGAAAACCACCTGCCTTGGTTTGGGCACCCGTGCTGTATCACAGTCCTCACACAAGCAAATGAGATTTGTGTGGTGCATATGTATTTAGTGCCTCCTTGTATTAGTATCTATGTGTTCAAATAAATAAATAATAAACGAAAGTTTTTAGCGCGAGATTATGGTCCATAGTAATAGATGAAAATATGGCATCTAAGTTTTCATTCGCGTATTAATAACGTCTTCTAATGAAGGGTATATAATTCTAGCATCTGAGACTACAATATGTGTGCTTAAGCAATCAAATCTGTTTCTTTCACCCCCATCTTAAATGTTTGGTTGTACTGATCCTCGATTATTCCTAACCAATTCCTAATAGAATATGGTCATGTACATTATATGAAGCAATTTCTATTTTCACTCGACTAAAGTATAGGTTCAATAAATACAATAAAGGATAGAAATATGATACATTTAGCTTTCTTGAATACTACTGATATAACTTTGATATAAACAAATAATTTTACTGTTTTATCTGAAATATATTAATTATCAAAAGTCTGTTACTTACAATGTGATTTATACGTGCACTTCAGTCAAAAAGTGCTCCAAAACACTCACTTATAAATAGGTAGGTCTTTAGTTATCGGTAAAAATGCATTTCTCAAAAAGACTACTATTCCGATACCATGCAAGTCGTTTGGTTTAAATTTGTGAATTGTAGTAATAACGATGTCCATTTGAGAAATTTGAAGTCCATCCAGTTCCAAAGTTAATTTTGACACATACAACCAATTAAATTACAGTATGTAAAATGTAGTTTGCTAACCAGTAATCTGCGCATCTGTCTACCGATTCTAAATAATTCAATCCATAGAGTTTGTGATGTGACTTGATTTATTGCCGAAACTCCTACATTAGAAAGGTATCAGGTTTTGAACTATTTCTCATTTTTGGATTATCAATTTGTTTTCTAAGTTAGTAAATGAAAGGTTCGATGTTCACTTGGAAATATATCTAATGATTTTTTTCTGCATCGTTTCAGTGCTGAGAGTGACATAGAAACACTGAACACAATGGGATTTCATATCGTTACTCCAGAAGAATTTCAAATGGGTGGTCGTCGTATATCACCGATGTCGTGCCTCGCAAGATCTGATGGCACTAGTGTTGCTTATCGTACTGAACCCGGTCGAAAAGAAATAGTTTAATTTTATTTTTAATCTGAACTGTCCTTCAGAGTTCTATGAACATTTGAAAAGCTTGATGTTTTAATGGTTTTGTTGCTTTGAAATTAACTTTTTTGGATTTTTTTGGACGATTCACTCTATAAATTCAGTATTCTTGTTTTGTTTATTCCCATGGAAATAGACAGTTCTCCAGATTCTGAAATAAATAGGGATGTCTGTTTCAAGCTTTTTTTTATAATGATCTCAAAATTATCTATACCCATCCTACTTTATTTCATGTAACGTTCACCTGATGTTGTAATCACTGAACGTGGCGTCATTAAACAAAACGTTTCCGTCACTGAGGAGACAAATAGACTGGTGATACTTTATTAGCAGAGAAAATATTTTGTCACCCCCAGGACTACAAGTAACCTTTAATTTTCATACTCTACGCTGAATATTTCTGTTATGTCCATAGGAATTATCTCTATTCCATAAGAGTAATTCCATATTATATTGATTTGGTCTATAGTTCAACCGAAACCCCCTAAATTTTGTTATAATGGGGAGTATGTACGGCTTCTTCACCTCACGTTACTTGTCGGCTAATGGAACTTGATTCTACAGTGTTATATATACTCCAGTGATTATAGATGAGATATAAGCCTTCGCTTAATGTTTTTTTATGTGTAGTAGCAATTGTTGGACGGGCGTATACGTAGCGTAGTAGGTATGTAAGTTAGCCAGAAGCACTCCTGGGCTTTTTTGATATGTCAAGTTACCTCCTGAAATGTTTTTGGGATTAAATTGTGACTAAATCCATTCCAATAACAACATACAGTCTCTGGGAGCTAAAATGCATAGTTCTTTTGTACTAACCATACTTCTGCAGTAAGTAGATTGTATGTATGGATTGTAACGCCCTGGAAGTGAACTGTTTTACACTTTGAAGAGTTGGAAGTTATTTACTGTGGTCTAGTCAGCTCTCATCGACTCCAATTTATCCTATTTAAGAGTTCCCTTCGGCTCCTCAACGTTATTTGAAAGGGGTATTCCAGAAGGCACTTAGAAGTAATATTTCCAAAACTTAAAATAATGAGTTGTTGTACTGAACCCATATGGGTGTCTATTAGTTCTTGTATTATGATAAACTAGGTTAATCACACTGACCTTAAGTAGCTCACTGTTCAAATATGTTTGGATTCAGTTGGTCAGCAATGAGTGGGTGCAAATCTGTGTGAGTTTATCAATAATGTGTGTGTGGCCAGTCCTATTTCAGGCTTTCAGAGAAGTGAATATTTGTTAAGCCTACATAATTACAACGAAGGATAGTGACCCATCTTTGGTGGCTCTGATGTAGCACTTTCGAATTCATCATTAGGAATTTTGACAGTTGTATATTTTCCGTTTGTACGCAATATGACTCTGGGGATACTCCTTTCGACGTCTGTATTTTCCGCGTTCCATCAATCTCATATCTTGGGTCTTTTGCAGTCGCGATGTTGTTTATAGGTAGGGGGTTGTATATCACATTTCGTGATAAGGCTCTCCCCTACATATGCAAACACGGCTATCATAAGGCTTGTAATTAGTAGGGAACCTTCCCAGAGACCAAGTTGTTGAAATGCACAGATACGTGTCGATAACAGGTAGTCGTATTGATTGTCCTGTGACCTTACACAGTACTGTTTAGTCTGGTTCACGTACGGTAAGAAAAGTCATCGTGATGTATCTCTGGGATAGGCTATGTCATCCGTCAGGTAATTTTTTGTTACCACGACTTTGTTTCGGAAGTGAGAACAGCATGCTAAGGATTGCCGCAGTAACTGAGGCTGTTGTATAGTGGGGTGAATCACGTTCAAGCCAGTAATGCACTCGTCAAGATGCCGTAGTTTAAGGGTGGACCAGTTCCATACATATATTAATTAATTCCCAGTAAGCATCAACAAGCTAATAATTCTATACTCATTAGATTGTCTTTTTGGATTCATCAAATCCAAACGTAAATTCTAGCTCTCAGGATGTGCAGGAAACCTATCTACCTAAAGCTTTCTGGGTGGAAAGTCTACGCTATCTTCAATCACGGTTCACTAAGGAAATAACTGGTTCCAGTCCAATCTTTTTATTCCTAGTTGTCCATTACTAGATCCATAAGAATTTCGAGTAATGGTCGATTATTGTCACCGGAAATGCCTTGCGGACCGCGGTTATTGCAGATGGTGCTTGGAAAATGCTTTCACATGTATCTCAACCTATTGAACAACCTCTAGGTGAGGAATGCATAAAGACTTCATACTTATGTGACAAACGTGTCATATGAATCCTTGATATTAGTTATGTAGTTAATTGTCGTCTTTTTCCATGTGCGTCCCCAAATGTGCATTTGTTTGTATACGTGTAACTGTCAACCTACTTGTCTTTTTGAGTATATAAATGTTCACTCGTGAATAAGTACTTCGATTATGATGTATGTTACAATCATATCGTATTTGTACATTTACTCTTTCGGTCTCTCTGTCAATACGTGAAAAATATGAAGATTGGTTTGAGAACGAGAGATGAAATTAAAGAGAGATCCGTGCCTCAATGACACGATTGGTTACTATAAATAGTTTTGAACTTAAAAATCATTCATTGAATCTTCACTTCTAAACATCATAAACTGGGTCCATCCAAAGTTATATTTGTAAATGCGACAAAAACGTGGGGAGTTTCGTCTTAGTATATCACTAATTAACGTGTCATCCGATTAGGTACATTTAGAGTGCTCGCACATCACCTTCAGAATTTACAGTAAGCCATATAATATTACAGGCTCCAATATCTGAGCACCAGCAAAGTTAGCACGAAAGATTGATAGGTTGGAATTAAAGCAGTAAACAAATTTCATGAAAATGCATAGCTCTGTAGGTCTTCGACATTGAAACTGAGTATGTTCGATTTATCAGAATCACTTAGCTAAAGGTGCTCGGCCACGCATCCGCACCAGATCACGAGTGGGTACGCCAAACTATGTATCCCTTTCAACTAATAGCCAGCTTAGACCCAACTTTCCTCGACATACCGATAGCTTTTCAAATTTATCTTCGAATTCCTACACTTCCGACCTCGGGTTCGACTGTGTTGGCATATTTTGATGATAAAGGAATTACTGGTAAAGGTGTTGTCAAACTCGGAATACTTGTGGCATTTTTAGTGGTGCCTTTGACGTGATCTGGTGCACCGATTCGTAAACTGCGAGTCTGTTACTTTTTGGATCATCATATATACTTTATTAAGTTTTATTTTTACATAATTTGATGTTGTTTTCATATTTATGGATATTCTTCCCAGTTGTTGGTATACGTTATAATCATCATGTTGGAGCAGACTTTAAGGTTATTTTCGCTTCCCTCGTTTCAGCTAATCCCATTCTGATCAGACAATATGTGGTGCTTGAATGTACTAATGACTCCTTTGTACTTGTTGAATGTTTGATTTCAAATTCTAAATACAGTACATTCGTTAGTGCTTGTGTAGTACTTCTTGATTCAATTGCGTTATCCCTGGGATTCTTAGTCCATACTATAATTCAAATACTTCTAATTATCATATTGGCGTCGCGATGGAGCCTGCGATGGAACACTTAGATATTCATTCAACTTCTGAATCTTTTGAGGATTATTTGGAAAGGTTTGAAATTTGGAACATGACCAAGAAGGATGATGAGGATATTAATATTGTGGCACATTTTTTCACATTCATTGGAAAAGAAGCATACAGCTTATTGAAAACTTTGGCATATCCAGAAAAACCTATCTCACTTCCTTATGCAACTATTGAGGAGTTATTATTAAATCATGTAAAGTGCACTAGTTTTGAATGCCGTGAAAGGGCAAAATTTCATAAGATGACTCGTCGAAATGACCGAAAGGTTAAGGAATTCATTCTTGAATTGCAGAAACAAGCTGCCAAATGTAATTTTGGTGATCAACTTCATGTGCAACTGAGAGATCGATTAATTCCAGGAATTATCTTGCCAGGTTTGGAAAGAGAGCTGTTAAGAATGCCGAACTGTTCCTTTCAAGATGCTAGAACTGCGTGTATTAACTACGAGGCAGTTAATGAACTTGATATCCAGTCGATGAATATTTCTAATACTTTGCTTAGTCGTCATGATGAAATACAATCTCAGGGTCAATCAAAATTGCGTTCGTTTAACAGTGGTTCCTATTCTCCTGTAAATATGGAAGATATCTCAACAAGGAATTACAAAGGAAATCACAAAGGTGAAACCAAGTTTGGCAAATGTTTATCATGTGGAAAAATTCATTCTCGTAATTCATGTGCATTTCGTAATGCTAAATGTTTTAGATGTGGTAAGATAGGACACATTCAAACAGTATGCAAAGCTACTATTCATTTTTCCTCAAGTAGTACTAAATCTTGTAATTTAGATTCCAATAATTCAGCTGTTCCTAATGATCATTTATCTTTGTCTACTGTTTCGAAAAGTAATGCTCATATTCAAAACCGATTATATACATCGCTTGGTTCATTTCATGACTTTATTATTGACACAGGCAGTATAGAGTCCATTATTACATTCAAGAACTTAAATTCTTTAGATCCTAACGTTGTGATGCGACCTACTGAAGTATCAATATTGGGGATTATTGGACAAGACTGCCTATACGTGGATGTTGTGAATTGCTAATAAGAGATGATAATTCTTCATACATACCCTGTGAATTTTTAGTTAGCGAAACAGGACTGTCAATACTGGGTTTGAGGAATTTAAAAAGGCTTAAAGTGCAGTTGTCTTTCCTAGTTTCTATAGAAAATAATGATGCTTTACTTGAAGATTTGATATCTACGTGTGCTAAGTGCAGTGGAAGTATGAAGATTCAGCCTATAAAACTTCAAGTACAGGGTGAACCAGTCTTTCTTAAAAGACGAATAATTCCTTGTGGTCTTCGAAAGGCATAATTGAACCGATCCAGTCCTCAGCATGGGGTACTCCTATTGTTACGCCAGTGAAGTCGGATGGCAAAACCCCT